ATCTTAAGTTTAATTGGTCAGCATAACTTATTCATAGAATTTACCAAGAATGGAGTATAAATATATAGGATATAGTTTACTTAAAAGTTAAATAGTGTGTATGATTCTTAGTATAAGATTAGGTTATCCTTTATAGTGACCTTGTATAACACTCCAAACAATACTTTAAAAGGTAGATATTAGGAATGAATGTCTCTGTATGCAAAGTCTTGAAATTAATTAGTCTACATAACTTATTCATAGTTTAGTAAAAAAAAAAACAAAAAAAACTTATAAATGAGCATGTATATCTGTAAAATCAAAGATATAATAACAAACAGTAGTAAAAATAATTTTTTTGTTACAAAAATTAGTAATCTAATGTAAATTTAAAGTCCTTGATGCTAAATATTTTATAATTTTCATTTTTTTTTATCAAATTTTTTATTAGGCAGATAAAATGATAATCACTAATTGTCAAAAACCTAATTGAAAGAATTTGTTGATCTTTTTTAAATATGTAAATATGTTTCATAGATTATAATGTTTTTTACAAGGCCTCAGAATTTTAGATCAGATTTATTAGAATTGAGTGATGCTAACTTCATTAATAGGTTTTTAGGTTCAGTCACTAAAATTCAAACCAATATTCAGATTGAAAGTACATACTATCAACTTCTTTTATAAAGAGTCATCAGGAATGGATTGCAATGAAGAATATGGTTTTCCATGACTGAAATGGGATCTGCGTAGATTTCCCCCATTCCTGTTTCACATGATAACGTTGCGCAGCTACTTATATTTATTATACTAATTATTATCAAAATATGCAATATACGCATTATAATCATTATAAGCACGCCTCACCTTAACACCAAAAAAAAAAATCAATATAAGCACGGGATCCCAACTTTGGTAAGATCTTCTTAGCCGAGGCAGAATCGTGACTGATGATTGTGCGACGATGATCTTACAACAAAATCGGTGAGTCGTTGATCACGTGTTCCGGGTCTAATAATAGCGACACTATAACTAATTTATGAGTTGTTCAAGTAATCTATGTATAAAAACATGATTACTCTTTAGAGGATTGTTAATCTATTATTTATTCAATAAAGTATTCAAGTTGTTTATATATGAAAACATAACTACTTCTTTATTATTAAGTTATCGAGTTGTTAACTGACTTTATACAAGAGTGATATTTGAGCTTATTTATACAATTTGAATCATTATAATCTTTCTGCTATTTTTATATTGGTACATTTTTGCATGATAAACATTTATCAAGAATTTTTAAAGCTAATAATTTTACAAATGCTTAATCAAAACTTCTAGAGCTATATAGCACTATATAGTGCTTTGTAGCATTACGTAGTGCTACTAACATTCGAAACGTTAGTGTTACATTATGGCTATCTATGACATGATATTAAATTACAAGGTTAACAGTAGGATATTGCCTAATTGATAATATATTTTAAAGGTAGTAGCACTTTAACAAAGGTAGTAATAATCAAAATATGATTTCTACTCGATTATGCAATTAAAAAGGATAATTAATAAGAATAGTATTTAAGTTCGCTAGTATGTAGTTGGTGATGAAGATTCGCTCAAACAACCATTATTCTACTGGTAGTTACTAATAGCTAACAGTAGCTATCACTACTAGTAGTATAATGGATTTCATTCTTAATTGGCTAATCTTTATGCCTATTTTTTTTAAAGTAATATGATATATACTGTGCAAGCCGTATCAACCAGTTATATTTAATAAACTGCTATCCATCTACCACTTTATATATTAACCTCACGGTAACTACCGGTAGTTACCAACTACATCACTATATGTTTTGACTGTATTGTGAATTCGTTCGATTAAATTGTATAATCTGATTGGTTAATTATCACAAGAAATCAAGGGTAGATCTATAAAACTTACCCAATTTCCCATGAACCTGATTAATTACTGCCACATGAAAAGTCCAGTGACTCGCAAAAATGTACTGAATTGTGATAAAACCACTATTAAAGAAAACCGGCCATCCTAATTTGATACTAAGTCGATACTCGTTTATTTCTTTGACTGACACTAAAAATGCGTAACCATCATAATTTAAAAAAATTCATTGCAAGAAGTCAATATGAGCTTGCAAATGATACTTTATTTCCTTATGAATTTTTTTCCTTTTCTGCAGTCTTTTTTTTACTTTTTATTAAAAAATCAAATCAATCAAAAAATAAACATAAGAAATGGATAGCAGTATGTTTTTAGAAATAAAGTCCAACGTTTTTTTTATACCAGATTTTATTTCAAAATTTTACAAAGAATTCCTTTTGTTAATGCGCAGAAGTGGTTTTAGTTAATGCACAGAAGTGGTTTTATTAATTTTGAGTTGCGGATAGTTTTTAAACACATGATTTTTAATCTCGTGGATCAACACATGATATTATATAACCAATCAGATTCTATTTTTGTGAATCCCATAATTTTTTTCAATAAGCAAGCATAGGTAGTATATAAGCTTACGGTTACTCTCTCTTGTAAGTCCAGAAGTTGAGGGCTCCCGAACAGAGTAAGGCAAACCCAATGATGCTGATGGAAACAACCTACCCTACAAGAGGGGTGACTTGGTTGGGATACCTGGGGTAGCATCCCGGGTATACTTCAAAAGCCGGTAGAGGGGGTGTAGCTAGCACCGGGACCCTCCGCGGAACATCCTATCGCGAAAGGGGTAGGTTGGGTACTACCGCTAGACGGTACTATTTTTACTTCAACAATTGATATCGTCTGTATACAAATAACCTGATTTTTCTATTTAAATTTCAATAGCTGCTCCAGTTTTGTTCAACGTGTACGCGTCTTTTGATATGATGAATACCTATATCAGGTAAATTATTTGATTTACACGTAATTCTTTATCTCGAGACATCAAAAAAATTATCGGAAATTTCTTCAAGCATACGCATGAAAATTTTATTAAATAAATTCATATTTATAGAATAGGTTTATATAAAGATTTTCAGTTTTACTTGTCTTTAAAAGTGCTTTTAACGAACTTAACTTTTATTAATATCTACTCATTAGAACGAATTACATCAACTGTAATTCCCTCAAAACTTGCGCATTTGCAAAAATTCATACCAAAAATTTTTATTAGCTATCTTTAATTTATCGCTAGAAGCATCTATTCCATATTATCAAATTGGTTCAAAATTGGTTGGATATTTTTAAATTATTTCTTTTATTGTTAGTAGACTTTTTTTTCAACAAGATCAAGTACCTACACGTAAATACAACAATTAATTCTATGAAATTTTTCTTGTGTCAATTATAATAGTCAAGCTGTTTAGATTCTTTCACAATCTCTGTTTTCATTATAGCACATGATGACTACTCCAATAAATCAATTATTCGTTGATTGTAACCTCTAAAGAGTGATCCGTTGATCAGCAAATGTATATTTGTTCAAAATCCGCAGGTTTGTCATTCGGTTTTTTTTATATTTACCCTGTTCAAACCGTATGAAACCAATTTACTAACAGTTCAAACGCACATTATCCGTTCAAATACGTTCAACATCTGCGCAATGTTGTCACCGGAGGTTACTGAAATTTTTACTATTGCAAGATCTCAACGGAAAACCATAAATTCCAACACTGGTAATGCAGAAACAAAAATATTGACAAATTGTTTCAATTTGAATCCAAAAATTATGATCATATAATTAAGTGGTTTCCGATTGAAAGACTATCCTACCTGAACTCTGATCGTGTGCTACTCTTAACACAAGTCATTGTTCTGAGAAAAATTTTTGTATATTCGTTGTAGTTCTGCCTTCATACCTTTTGTATATTTCAAATTCAAATAATTAAGAAATTCACGCAGATGTTAGATGAACTTCTACGGATTTGGGTAAAAGAAAAAAAATTAAGGTTGACTATGCGTTTTCAATTATATTTAGTTGACTATAGTGATAAAATTTTATTATTGATTTTTGGAAAATGAAATATTGAATTTATTAGCCAATTAGATAAACTTCTGAACCGTCGATGTTACACGACTGATCCTTAAAAAAATTATTTACAATACCAGTCTGCTAGTACACGGCACTTCTAATATACGTATGACAAATCATTATGCCATTACAGCATTATTTTAAAATTATCACTAATCAAAAAAAGGAAAATTTTTAAATTAATTTTATATCATTTATAATACGACTGATCCTTCATCCGGTGTGCAACATATAAAAAAATTATTTTACAATACCAGATCATTCCGCAAGTCTATTATAATAAAATGGTGTGGAATTATAACCATAACATGTACTAGCGGAATGATCTGGTATTGTGAAATAATTTTTTTATATGTTGCACACCGGGTGAAGGATCAGTTGTGTAACATCGACGGTTCCTCTTTATATACTTTTTAAAAAAACTCTTAGTGAAAAAAAAAATAAGATCTAATTCTCGTCCGTTTAAAACAGTTAGTACAGTAATAACTTGTCAAATCCCGATAAGAACAATTTATTACTAAGCTAATTTTTTAAACGGACGAGAATTAGATTTTATTTTTGACTATGGAGTCCTACAGCTCTAATGAAACCTTCAATATGTTTTTTTTTACTTTATTACGGTTGGTTTTCGTTTTTTTTTAAAAGTACAGTATTCTAAACTATATAAATAATGTAAAATTAAATTGAATTTATTAGCCAATCAAACGAACTTCTGGCTATTATTTTTAGGCAATAGGTTACTGAACTTGATCATGACAAATTGTAAACTAAAATTTATGAATAAATTTGTTTAAACATATTTAATGTACAATGATAAATTTAAATTATTAAAAATTATGAGAATTTTTTTCAGAACTTGACAATGTTTGAGCACGAATATTACGTGATTTTATATATTTATAATTATTTAAAATTTGTACTCTATCCGGCCAAAATGCAAGTATACAGAACCCAATCTTCTTTACCGATTTTTAGATAGTCTTTCAATCGGAAACCACTTAATTATATGATCATAATTTTTGGATTCAAATTGAACCAATTTGCCAACATTTTTGGTTCTGCATTACCAGTGTTGGAATTTATGGCCTTCCATTGAGATCTTGCAATAGTAAAAATTCCAGTGACCTTCCGGTGACAACATTGCGCATGACTATCGCACCACATATTATTTGTTACAACACGCTCTTTTTCAAAACATTTGCTTCGACCATAAAGATATTTAATATAATTTCTAATTGACAAATCGGATCTCTTGCATTGTATTCAAAACAATTGATTAATAATATATTTCATTAATGGAGTTACCTAATTCAACAAGTCAACACAAACAGCAAACTTGAAATTCCGTTGAAATCATCAATTTCAGGTAACGTTCGAATGTTTTGCACTCATCCTCTTCATAATTGTTTACTCAGTTGTTAACTAAACCTGGAATAGAACGATCCTTACCATCACCTAATTCGGTGGCTTCCCAATCATTGAACGAAAGAGGTTATCAAAAATGATTATCAATTCTACATGATATATAAGTTTTTATTAATTAGTGTCAGCAGCTATTGTAATTTATTATTATTTTTTTTTAACAAATAAATAAAATCAACATAAATCAATGTTTAGAAATGAACATAATCGTCTAAAAAAACCTGATAGTTGATGTTCCGCAGATGTTGAACGTATTTGAATGGATGATGTGCGTTTGAACTGTTAGTAAATTGTTTTCATAAAGTTTGAACAGAGTACATATAAAAAACCCACCGAATGACAAACCTGCGATTTTAAACAAATATACATTTGCTGATCAACGGATCACCCTCTAGAGGTTGAATCAACGAATAATTGATTTACTGAAGTAGCCATCATGTGCTAAATGAAACAAAGATCGGGAAAGAATCTAAATAGTTTGACTATTATAATTGACACAAGAAAATTTTCATAGAATTAATTGATGCAGTATTTATGAGTTTGTTGGAAAATGTCTACTCACAATAAAAGAAATAGTTTAAAAGTATCCAACCTAATTTTGAACCAATTCGATAATATGGAATGGGTGCTTCTAGCAATAAATTAAAAATAGCTAATAAAAATTTCTATTATGAATTTTTTGAGAAATGGCAAGATTTGAGGGAATTGCAAGTAATATAATTCGTTTTAATGAGTAGATATTAATAAAAGTTAGTTAAGTTCGTTAGAAGCACCTTTTAAAGACAAGTAAAACTGAATATCTTTATAATAAACCCATTCTATAAATATGAATCTATTTTATAAAAATTTTCATGCGTATGCTTGAAGAAATTTCCAATAAATTTTTTTGATGTCTGAAGTAAAGAATTACGTGTAAATCAAAAAATTTACCTGATATAGGTATTCACCATATCAAAAGACGCGTAAGTGTTGAACAAAACTGGAGCAGCTATTGAAATTTAAATAGAAAAATCAGGTTATTTGTATACAGACGATATCAATTGTTGAAGTAAAAATAGTACCGTCTAGCGGTAGTACCCAACCTACCCCTTTCGCGATAGGATGTTCCGCGGAGGGTCCCGGTGCTAGCTACACCCCCTCTACCGGCTTTTGAAGTATACCCGGGATGCTACCCCAGGTATCCCAACCAAGTCACCCCTCTTGTAGGGTAGGTTGTTTCCATCAGCATCATAGGGTTTGCCTTACTCTGTTCGGGAGCCCTCAACTTTTGGACTTACAAGAGAGAGTAACCGTAAGCTTATATACTACCTATTCTTGCTTATTGAAAAAATTCTGGGATTCACGAAAATAGAATCTGATTGGTTACATATTGTCATAATGTATTGATTTACGGCAGTTTAAATCGACATAGATTGACTAATTATATTACAAGGTTAAGTATAACGTGAAAATCATGTGTTTTAAAAAAATTATCAGCAACTCGAAATTAAACTTATAAAACCATTTCTGCGCATTAACAAAAGGAACTCTTTGTAAAATTTTGTTATAAAATCTGGTATAAAAATGACATAAAGCAAACATTGAACTTTATTTCTTAATTAATCAAAAAACATACTGCTATCCATTTCTTATGTTTATTTTTTTGATTGATTTGATTTTTAATGAAAAAACTGCAAAAAAAAGAAAAAAATTTGTAAGGAAATAAAGCATCATTCGCAAACCCATATTGATTTCTTGCAATGGTTTTTTTTTTTTAAATATTTGGTTGCGTAAGTTAAAGAAATGACTTACTATCAAATTAGGATGGCCGGTTTTCTTAATAGTAAATTTATTACAAGTCAGTACATTATTGACTTTTCATCTGGCAGTAATTAATGCCAGGATGGTAAATGACCCAAAATGATTAGTCATTGGTTTGGCTAAGTTTTATAGATCTACCCGTGACTTCTCGTAATAATTAGCCAATTAAGTTACTTAATTTAATCGAACGAATTCATAATGCAGTCAAACTTTATACTACATATAGTGATGTGAGTTGGTAACGACCGGTAGCTATCTACCACTGTAGTTACGGGTAGTTAACTGTGAGGTTAATGATATAAAGTATAGTAATTTATCGAATCTGATTTGTTGATACGGTTTGCACTGATATATCATGACTTTAAAAAAAAGGCATAAAAATTAGCCAATTAGGAATGAATACCCACTATATTGCTAGTAGTGGTAGCTATCACTTATCAGTAGCTATCAGTAGAATAATGGTTATTTGGGACATACTAGCGAACTTAAATACTATTCTTATTAATTATCCTTTATTAATTATATTTAATTACATAATCAAGTAGAAATCATATTTTAATTATTATTACTGTCTTTGTTAAAGATGCTACTACCTTTAAAATATATTATCAATTAAGGAATATCCTGCTGTTAACCCTTGTAATTTAATATCATTTGATAGATTAAAATGTTAGCATTTGTAGAATTCTTAACTTTAAATAGTACAGGAAATGCTTGATAAATGTTAGATTATACAAAAATGTACTAATAAAAAGATACAAAAAGATCATAATGATTTAAAGTTATAAATAAGCTCGAATATCACCCTTGTAGAAAGTCAGTTAACAACTCAATAACTCAATAATAAAGTAGTCATGTCTTCATACATGAACAACTTGAATACTTTATTAAATAAACAATAGATTAACAATTCCCTAGAGAATAATTGTGTCTTCATACACAGATAACTATAAATTAGCTATAGTATCTTCATACACGAATAACTTGGAGTTATATACTTGTATCTTCATATATATTTAGCCATTGCCTCTTTCGCCAATATTCTTAAAAGCGTAACCGCAATAAAACCCTATATTTTACTTAAGCATAAATTGGCATTGTTATTAATTACTTAACCTACTTGTCACTAAAGTAAAACCGTTATACCGGGCTTATAAGAGTAAGTTTCGGGTGTAACATTGCTTAATAAATTTTTCTAATTATTAATCGCCTTTGTACCCGTTGAAAAAAATTTCAAGAAATTTCGTTATTTATTTATATAAATTCTCAAATAATCATATTTTTCAGTCATTATAGCCGTTGCACAATTAATACTACACGTTTCTATTTATACTATTGTAAAACCATATTAAATCTGCTAAATACTAAAATAATATAAATAAAATATTAGAATTATTAAAGTAAATACAATAAATTAACAAATTTACCTTAAACGTCTTGATCGTTCTTTTTATTTGATTATTTTTTCGCTAATATAGATAGCAGTAGTAATAAATAAGTATAAACGTTCGAAGCTAGAAATGGTCTTTATGGTAATTTTTTATTAGTGAAACTTTAAAGTACTTTAAACTGTATAAATAAGTTACCCGAGCAATTGATTTATATCAGCCAATCATGCGAATGTCTTCCTATGAACCATTGACTTAGAAGGTCATTCAATATTCTAATACCTTTTAATTAATCATAATTGGTGTCAAAACACAATCTACGATTATCGATTAGGAAAGTAATATAGTTCGATAATTTTTATGAACAATTCGGTCAATAAAATTATTATATATGCAAGTCATTTGAATTTTGATCAAATGGCCAGGGATTGATGTCAATGATATTAATTTCAATATTAGTTTCACAATAGCGATGAAATTAGTTCACCATCCTCATTTAATTTCACCAACATTTTTGATCATGATAAAGTCGAAATAATTTGTCAACAATTTTGTCTCCCGCATGATCATCTTACATCGCTAAGTCTGATCATAATATTTAGCACCACGTATTATTTATATTATATTCGTTACAACACAAAAGATTTCCTTCGATTATAAAGATATTTAACATGATTCCTAAACAATATTTTATTAATGGAGTTACCTATGCTACAAGAGATCCGATAATTCATTTGATTATTCATAATTCGACTACATACCTATTGCGTATTTGTAACAAACAGTAACCTTGGAATTCACCGATTTCAGGTAATGTTTGAACATTCTACACTTACCCACCTCACTATTGATTCCTCAGTTGTAACTAAACCTAACATAAGATGATACTGTTTATACGGATTGAACAGATTACATAAAAAAAAAACGAATGCCACCTAATATTTATTTGCTGATTAATGGATCACTCTTCAGAAAGTGAAACAATGAACAATTGATTACTACGTAGTCATAATGTGCTAGAAGAATCTGAACGATTTGGCCATTATAACTGATACAAGGAAATACTTTTTGCAGTAAAATTTACTGCTTATTAGTTACATATAATTAATTCTTGTTTTTCGTGTAGTCACTTATTCTTGTTGAAAAAATTCTGTTCACAATAAAAGGAATGGATTAAAAGTATTAAATCAAATTTTGAACTAATTCGATGATATAAAAAGCTTACTATAATAGTATGTAATGGGCAAAATGAGGTACAGTACTTCTGATAATAAATTAGAAGTGGTTAGTAAAATTTCTGTTATAATTTTTATGAAACACACTTTGAGCAAGTTGCAGTTGATATAATTCATTCTAATAGGTAGATATTGATAAAAATTAGTTTAGTTAGAATTACAAGTAAAATTGAAAATCTTTATGGTAAATTACATTCGAATTTAGGTTATAAAAATTTTCATGAGTATGCTTGAAAAAATTTCTAATATTCTTTTTGACGTTTTCAGGTAAAGAATTACATATAAATTAGAAATTTATCAAATAATGATATTCATCATATCAAAAGACATGAACATATTAAACAAAACTGAAACAGTTATTGAAATTTAAATAGAAAAATCAGGTTATTTGTCGATATCAATTGTTGAAGTAAAAATAGTATCATATAGCAGTAGTACTCAACCTATTCCTTTCATAATAGGATGTTCTGTAGAGGGTCTTAGTGTTAGCTACACTCCCTCTACTGACTTTTGAAGTATACCCAAGACATTACTCCAGATATCCCAATCAAGTCATTTCTCTTGTAAGATAGGTTGTTTCCATCAGCATTATAGAGTTTACTTTACTCTGTTCAGGAGTCCACAACTTTTGGACTTACTAAAGAAAGTAACCGTAAGCTTATATACTACCTATGCTTGCTTATTAAGAAAAATTATAGGATTCACAAAAATAAAATCTGATTGGTCATATAATATAATATCATATATTGATTCACGATTGTTACATAATGTGAAAATCATGTGTTTTCTTCTGCATATTAACTAAAGAAATTATTTAATATAAATCTTGATATAAAATTTGATACAAAAATTATATAAAGCAAATGATATCTTTATTTCTTAATTAAATAGCATACTGCTATCCATTTCTTATGTTGATTTTTATGATTAATTTTTTATTATTAAAAAAATTTGATAAATAATAAATTATAAATTAATAATAAAAACCAAAAAAAAGTTGCAAAACAATAAAAGAAAAAATTGTATAGAAATAAAGAACCATTCACAAGTTTATATTTGTTTTTTGTAATATTTTTTTAATAATTATAGTTACATATTTTTAGTATCAGTTAAAGAAAGATTGAGTTGCAACATTCTTACTAAGATAAACAAAATATAATTATATGTCAATTTAGTATCAGATTAGTTTGTCAATTTATATGATAATGAAGTTGATATAAACATTAAAGTTAATTTTAAAATTAATTTCAAAATATTGTTGAAATTAGTTCACTATTCTTATTTAATTTTACTAGTATTTTTATGTTATAAGTTATTAAACCTTAATTATGTTAAATTGTTACAAAAATAATAACTATCTATATTCTTTATTGTTTATAAATTATATAATTTTGAAATTATAAAATTATGAATAAAATTTGATTAATACATATTTAGCTAATGTAAATAATAAATTTAATTTATTAACAAATTTATATAAATTTTTTTCAGAACTTGATAAGGCTTGAATGTAAATATTATAAAATTTTATATATTTTTAGTTATTTTAAAATTTTTGTATACCATTTAACTAAATTGCAGAATATACTAAACTAAATCTTTTTTACTAATTTTTTAGATAATTTTTCAATTAGAATTTACTTAATACAAATATAAATTTTAGATTTAAATTAAAATAATTTACTAATATTTTTGTTTCTATAAGAATTATTTTATAATGTAAAGATGTAGTAATCTAGTAAAATGGACAGATTGTTAACCTTCAAGTGGCAGATCTAGTGTTCAAATCTCATAAACAGTAAAATTTGAAAATTATAACTGTGTTATAGTAATTGTGTCTTGTCATCAGTTGGACAGAAGAGATAATCTGAACCTTAGAGACACCATCTTAAATAGAAGTTTAAAGTATTTATATAAAGTGTAATATTACATATACATAGAGCAATATTAATAACTGGTGTTGTATAAGACTCTGGTGCAAACTTATAATAAAACCATTGAATGCATAATACTAAGAAACTGAAGTACAGAAACCTATTTAGAAATTTTAAGTAAAGAGATAATATGAACTTTTAATAATACTATCAGATCATCATAAGGCTCTAAAAAAGAATAACTAAAATAGATCTGATAACAACATGAGTAAAGGAGCACATATCAACCAGGCTGCTAAGAACTGCCAGAAGAAAAAAATCTTAGAATATTATATTAGGTTATCTGGATTAGTAGTTTGTAAAGTTTTGTAAATTCAGAAATAAAAAGTAAAAGTTAGAAAAAGATGATATTGAGGTTCTAGTAAACTTTACAAGAGTATAGTAATTTAATAGTTAGCTCTAGCTGCAAGTAATAGTCTAAGTCAAAGCAGTATCAGGTTAGCTATAAGTATAAGATACAGAGAACTTTGGTAGACTTAGTACAAAGTTAAATATAATTTAGTAACTATGGCATATTTGCAGTTAATTTGCAATTGGTAGGATAGTAGTAAATATGAAATCTAGAGTGTTTAAATAAAGATCCACAGGTGCTTTCTAAGTATGGCAACTAGTGTAGAACCTTTAGACAAACTACTTAAAATAGACAATAACTAAAGTTATACAAGTAGCTAGTTGTATACTCTTTTTATAATTAACTCTGTAGTATTGTATATAATAATTATATGCTAACAGATTATTAATAAATTTCTAGTTTGCAAGTACTTGTCTTAATATTAAAAAAAAAACTATCTTATATTGTTAATTTTAAATTATATACTTGATATTATATATTATTTATATTATTGATTTTTTTTAAAATAATTTCTTTGGTTTTTTGATTTTATTAATAATTTTTTTAATAATATAATTTTATAAACTACTATAGAAAGAGTCTATAATTGGTTATATATGTAACTTTTCTTTATTATCTATTTAGAAAGTTTACTTAAAGGTTTTTTTCAATTATCATTCTTAACTCTTCTGCTTGGGTGTTTTATTTTAAACCTTTTAAACCTAAACATGTATTAACATTACTAGGTCAGGTTCAGGTCATTATTTTAACCTTAAGACTATTTTATTTTTAAGATAAACCTTCCAAAGTCTTATATATCAATTATTACAGTTAAGTTAAGTTTTGCTATAACAGAACTAACACTTGTAATCAGAATTATATCATTTAATCACTATACTTTTGTAGAGTTTACTTGAACCTCAGCATCTATTTTACACATTTTCTAATTTTTATACACATTTTTTATTTGTCACTAATAAATCTAAATCCTGATTGGACATCATAACCTAGTGCCACTTATCACATGCCTTAATTTGGCTAATAATATTAAGTTCTTCATCTAATTAGTTGATTTCAAATTAATAATTTATATCACATTTTGCAATATTTAAAAATACAATTTTATTAATTTAAGCTTTAATGTTATATGTTAATTTAATAAAAAAAATTTTTTTTTGAAATATTTAGTACAAAAAGTAAGAGTTAATCTTATAAACATATTTTTATTATTTGTAATTCTTAAATCTATATATTAACAATTTTAAACATATATTCTGCACTTTACAGAAATTAATACTGCCATTCTGAACATTTTAAAAGATGTTTAATATTTTATTATTTTTGTTATAATTTTTGTATAGGATGTAAAAAATAGAAAAATTTTGAGCAAAATTATTGTATAAAAAACATATAAACATCCTTTAAAATGTTTAAAACAGAGTCAATTTTCTGAACAAAAAATCTGATAATTTCAGGATTTTTTGAACAATTTTAAAGGATTTTTTTTACATCATTAAATTGTATATATGATAATATGAACTAGAGGAATAATATATCTTTTTTAAGCTTTATTGATTAGATTATTCAAGTATATTCAATTTTAGGAATTTATTGTTGTTCAAACTATGATAAATTTTAAAATCTTATAAATCTGAATATTTTATTTATTGATAATAATTCATTTTTTATGCATTAAATTTTTTAATAAAATTGAGTCAATAGTTATATAAAAAGTAGATCAAAAATAAAAAATCTGTCCTATTACTATAATTTTTTTTTTATCTTTATTCTAAAATTTTTATTTTTTATTTATATTATTTTTTTTTTTATATATTTAATTATTATTGTTAAAAGACTGAACAATATTTTAAACTTCAATACATTCTTTGCTTTAAATTAGTAAATGCAATTTTTTTATTTCTAATTCATGCTATTCATGCTGTTATATTTTATTTATAATTAGTGACACTCTATATTTTATTTTAAATTCATAACATTATTTGTATTTTATTCTTATTTCAGTATTTATAATGATATTTATATATATTAAGCATTTAAATTTATAAATAATAATAATAATTTATTTGCAGTAAAACATATTAATTTATATACAAATCATTTATTAATAAATGCATATTGCTTATATTAGTATGCATTTAGACAATTGACTTTATAGTATTTAGTTAGTAAATATCATATAAAATTATGTTACAGATAATATAAATATTACACATCTGAATAGTATAATTAGTTAATTAAAATTGATATATATCAAATGAATTGAATTTGATTAATAAAAAAATTTTATTGATATATTTAATAAATTACAAAATTGAATTTTTACATCTAATTCTATATTTTTACAAATAAATAAATGCTACAGCAGAGACAGTGCCTAATCAAAAATGAATTCCTTTTACCTATAATTAATTGCAAATTAAATTATTTATATTTAATTCAATTGTGATGAATATAATCCCTTACCAGTTTTAATATATGTATAACATTGACAGTTTTTGCTATTAATGAGTGCTGCCAAGAAAAAACTTGCAAATCTTATAAGTTTTGCAGGTTTTCTCTTGGCAGAACTCATATAATGATAAGAGATTCCTAAATGCATTATATTAGATGCCTAATATAATTTTTCAGTGCATATAATAAAATCATTCTTTATAAATGCATGCTGAATTTGTAAAGAAAAAAAAAATTTAAATTAAAAATATTTTCTTGTATGCTGAAACCTTCAAATTATCTATTGAATAAATAAGTTATATTAGTAAAGCTTTTTTGCTAATTTGATCTAAAAAATTATAAAAAAATAGTCTAGCACTTATCATTTAATACAAATTTGAAGTGTTTTTTCATTAAAAATTCTTGAAAAAAAATAAATACAATTAGTTGTCTTTTCAACAAAGTTTCTAAACTAAACTATTACTATGTCTTTATTACAAAATAATGCAACTCTTAATAGGCTTGAGCCAATTAATCTTAACACAATTTTTAATATTGACAAAGGCTAATATAAATATTAGTGACCACAAACTGAATGAAACTATTGATAGAATTATAGATGCAACAAATGGTGTTAAGAAAATATAAGAAATAGATGATAATAATAATGGCTTCCAAGATTTACAGAATTTGCAAAATAAGGAGAAATTGAAAATGTATTATATCTCTGTCAATAGTTATAAAACATGAATAAAGAACTTTAAAAAGGCAGAGCTTAGTTATATTTGGCATAATTATAAAATAAGTATAGGTTAAAGAAAAAAAATAAATAGACCAAATGATAGTACTGCCATTATTATGGAATATACAATAGTATTGCTGAAAATAATTCTAGTAAAAAGTCACAACTTGCACAAAAAAAAACAAAAAAATGTGAATGTAAAAGTTATATTCAAGTCATGCTTACAAATAATTCAACAACAGTTATCCTGTGATACTATTATAAACATACTAACTATAAATCTGATCAGCTATCAGATTTATATATGCTTCTGTTGTCTGATAATATCTGACATTTTATTAGACAATGTGTACTAAAAGGACTTGATGCTTACAGTATACAAAACCTTTTGTAGTACTGAGAAATTGAACTTCAAAGTTAAGTGCAACATTTGGAAAAAGCACATAATAATAATAATCTTTTAGATATTTAATCATTATATGATAAACTGGTAACAAAAAATAATATTTATACTATTGTATGCAATATAATAAAAACTTGCACTTATCTTGATGAGGATGAACTAAAATCTTTAATCAAGTAGCAAGAGAAGCTGAATTGCATAGGTGATTATTGCTTGTTTATTTGTAGTAATAATAAAAACAAAGGATTTATGTTTGCTTTTCAAACAAGCAAACAAAAAGATCTAATGAAATTCACAAGAGTAGTATATATGAACAGTACTCATAGGCTAAATTAATATAGATATCATCTCTTTACTCTTATTATATAGCACTCTATATTAGGAAGTGAATACTGTTGCATTTTTAATTAGTAAATTTAAAAAAACAGTTATATTAAAAAATTGGCTTTATTTCTTAAAAGCAAAGCATAAAGAGTAGAATCCAAATATTTTTATAATTGACAATACAGTGAAGAAGATTAAAGCTATCAAGGAGTCTTTTCTAATAGTACTGTGTTATTATATTACTACTATGTGTTAAGATCTTAACATTGAAATTTATATTATAGTAATAGTGCAAATAAAGATTCATATAAAATAGCCATTTGGAAGAATCTTTGGCAGCTAATAAAAACTGAAAAATAGAATAATGAAGAGGCATTAAAACAAATTACCCAGGCAATTAAAAAGTAGTAAGAATAGATACTAAAGCTGCTAAAAAATTTGCTAGTTATTTTGTAAGATAGTAAAAGCCAAAATACAATATGTGAATGGTATGCCTAAAAGAAATGGCTAGAGACATAATAGATACAAACAACTTAATAGAGGTATTTTATTGCAAGTTAAAATATATATATATAAGAGGATAATCGAAACAATAACTTGATAGTAAAATTTATCTTTTTATAGAAGTAGTACTCTGAAACTTAGATTTTTCTGTTTTTTTAGATGATTTAAATGTTAAAAAAATGAAATTATGATGACAACAACAATGAATTCAAAAGATTAGTAAACAAAAATTAGTCCAAATAATATTTTTAATATTAGTTCAAATACATAGATTGTTTATTCTATAACTAATACTAATATAGAATATACTGTAGAAAAAATAATAAAAATAATTTAGATATTACTTTATATATTTGTACTTGCCATGATTTTAAAGTATGTCAATTGCCTTGCAAGCATATATTTGCCATATTAAGTCAACTTCAGATTTCTTAAGACAATGAAGAAAATGACCAACTCATTTAACTTCAATCTGATAAGATAAAAATTTCCAATTCTTCTGATTTCTCTTATACATCTGCAAGCTATAAGGATAAAATTATAAGTCTAAAAAATTATAAGAAAAACTTATAGCAATCATTGCAGAATAGACAGATAAAAGTAGAGAAGATATTTATAACCTAAGATCAACACTTCAGCAAGCAGTCCAAACAGAAAGATCAAGAATTACAAGAATCAATATTGTACTAACAGTTACTGATAATAACCAGCTAGAATTTTCTAACACTGTTCCAAAAAATTTTAAATTTAAAAAACAAATTAGATACTAACTAATTTGTTTTAAAATTTGTCTATTTTTTAATATGTTAATCCATAAAACTTAAATACTTCAGCTTTATAAATACTAATAATTTTTTGCACTAGCCTATTTAATCAACACTTCTTAATGATTAAGTGCTCAGTAAATTTATTTTTTTTTAAGCTTCTATTAATTTTAAGGCATTATTTAGACATATTTTCTTCAAATAATTTATTCTAAGTAATATAGTTATTAAATTCAATATGTAAAGGTTTTTTATTTAATATGTATATATATATCTAATAAGAAATCCAAATAAAAAAAAGTTTGTATGCAGAATAAATAGCAAATATATAATGTATAGCTAATAAAGTATGTGTACATAGTAGAAATTAAGATATATATAGTTTGCAAATATATAATATATAGTTAATAAAGTATGTATACTAGAGATTAAAGATAATATGTATAGTTTATAACAAAAAAAAAATCTTTGACTTTACCTATAGCCTATACTATAACATGAAAAAAGAGTAATTAATCCTAATTATTAAAAAGAAAAAAAATAAACTTTATAAGTTTTTCTAAGCATACATATATCTGTAAATATTAGATTTATACAATACATTTTTTTGTAATACTCAAGTAAATTTTTTACTATAAAATTAAGTGATTAACATGCATATAATTTATACAAACCAGTTTCTCAATCCTTACCCTTTCTCTCAATACCTTTATCAGAAATTCTTTTAATACAAAACACAATACCTGATTCTATTTATCAAAACCAACTCATTAATCTTTATCAAAAATTTTTATTTCTAGAACCAACTAATCTAAACCTTTATACAGATGCCTCTATACTCAATTCACAAACTAATAACATCTTGACAGACATTGCTTGGATCCTTAAAAAAGATATACAAATCAAATTTAATGCTTTTATAACTTATACACCAAACTCAACATGAGCTGAATTAATAGCACTTATCTCTTTATTTCTCATACTATCTGTTAATATCAAATTTACATTAATCTAAACAGCTTATCTATTATTCAAACACTCTCAAACATACTACCCTATAACTATAACTCACAAACCAAACAAAATAATTAGAATATTATATATATAAGTAGTTGTACAATATTGTCGTGTAAAACCAGAAATGGAAGAAATCTATACAGACATCATTTCAGTTATGTAAAACCATATTCTTTATTGCAATCTATTTCTGGTATAGAAAAATAACTCTTTATAAAAGAAGTTGCAATTTGAATATTGGTTTGAACTTTAGCAGTTCTGATAAATCTAGTCCAAAATTCTAGAACCTTTTAAAAAACATTGATCGACAAATTCTTTTGATTAAGTCTTTAACAATTAGTGATTATCATTTTATCTGCCCAATAAAAAATTTGATAAAAAAAAATAAAAATTACCAAATATTTAGCATTAAGGCCTTTAAATTTATATTGAAACACTAATTTTTATGTCTAAAAAACTTATTTTTACTATCATTTGTTATAGCATCTTTGATTTACAGATGTATGTACTCATTTATGTTTTTTTAAAAAAATATTAAATTATTAATAATTTATATGAACCGATTAATTACAAGATTTTGCATACAAAGACATTTATTTCTAGTATCTATCTTTTAAAGTATTGTTTGAAGTACTACACAAAGTTATAATAACAGATTACTTAATCATATGCTAAGAATTATGCATGCATATTTGAATTGCCTGTAAACTATATACTATATACTTCATACTCTGTTCCTGGTATACTTAATTATTTAAAAAAACTCAAAACCATCAATTATATTATACACAAAGTCAAATCACATTCAAAAAATACTTTATACAACATAATCAATTCTCTTGCCAAACAAGGTGCTAACAAAACTAAATTAAAATTTAATCTCAAACACTTCTACCTACCCACTTACTTTTCTTGAAAAGAAATTCTAATTATATATAAACTATGTAGATTTTGCAAGAACTTAATCTTAATTTAAACATTTAACAAACTTCTTTAACTCAAACTATTACAGAATCTTCTAACTATAAACATTCTATTATTAACTAAAATTATTGACTTCCAAAACTCTAATCTCAAACTATATTTTATTAGAAACAAAATACTTCTCAATAACTTACCAACAATATTAAATCTAAATATCTGCTATCCTTTTCTTTATCTAACTCCAAATTGCTCATATTGCTCATATTGTAATCAATATGAAAATATTGAACACTTATTTCAATACTCACTTTATTCCTACAATCTACAAAACACTCTCACTAATGAAATCTCAAATGCCTTAAACTCTTTAAACATTACAGAAACCTTACAAATGCAATATTTCAAATTCTTACTATACAAAACATTCCTCTTAATCTAAATATATATACACAATACTATTACTTATTCAGGATACAAAAATCCTTAACCAACACAACCAACTCTGACCTATTCTAAAAAAACTAACAAACAATTTTCTTATTTCCTTACCTAACTTATTACTTATTTGGTTCAACTCTACTATTTAGCAAATCTATAATGTTAAATAACATGAATGAGAATTATTATAAGGAATTATATTTGCTACTAAAAAGAAAAACAATATCAGATTATCTACTCCTTAACTTATAAACTCCAACAATACTATTATACTTTTAATACTGATATAGATCTCTTTATTTTCAAAACTTTTACTTAAAACTTCACTATACATATCTGCTTTTACTAATTAAATAATTTTAAAGGTTTTTTTTACCTTCTCTGTAGTTAAGTTTATGTTAATTAACTTAACTAATAACAGAAAACTAAAGGATAATATTATACTAGATGTTGTATTATATAACAACAATAGTGTAGCTTAGAAATAATATTTTAGTTATACATCTATATTCAATTGATATATAAATATATCCTTATTTTCCTACTTGATATTATATAAATAAAAAAAAAACATGCATATGATAAACTCATTTCTTATATGTAAATTGCAATGATAGGCCTTTTTTGAATACTATTTTCAGAGGTTTTTTAAAAAAAAAGTACTATATATAGTCTAATAATTCAAATACTTTTTTTTTTTTTTTTTAAATATTAAGGTAAGTACTTGTGACCCAGGATTTTATTGATAGTATATTTGGCTAATGATTGCTTTACAACTACAAGAGGCAACTATGAAAAGAGTATACAACTAGTTACTTGTACAACTTTAGTCATTGTCTAATTTAAGTAGTCTGCCCAAAGGTTCTACACTTGCTGCCA